CTGATTTCCACCAGCTGAGTTAATGAACACGCACATAACCTCCAGCTATAAAGGAATGATGTGACGCAGCCTCTTCCTGTCTATATTAAAAAAATCATGGTCTGTTTTCCAGAGGAACCCCTGCCTGCAGCGCGGAGAGAAGTCTCTCCTTTCATCTGTGCAGCTAATCAGGGATAAGACTTCTTATGAGCAAAGTATTTCCTGCTGCAGCAAAACAGAGGCCTTTGTTTCTGGAGAATCACTCTCTGAGCTGAATGAAATGTGCCAATTTCATGAAGGTAGCTTTAGTTTGTTGTGGGGGATCAGTTCATGCATTAAAGTGGTTTGATTGACCAGTATGTGTGGCTACATGATCTGGTTTAACCCGTTGAGCCCTGAGCCTGTTTTCCAGGCCTCAGGCTCGAAAATGACATTCCCAGAACAAATGACTATATCTTCCCTTCTAAAAGGGGTAAATTAATAATCTTTTTTCTCAAAGCAATGATAAACCTGTGAGTTGGATGTAGAAGAGTCAGAATCAATATAGCATTTTTTTATTTTAAAGTAAATTCAGATTGAACATATTGAAAAAATTTAAATTATAGTGTCCGTCTAAAAAAAAGACATGACTTATAGTGAAAACCCCCCTTGAATGATGGGATAGTCGACTAAAAGCTTTAGGAATCCAAACTATAACATATAATAAGTACTCTGTATAAAGATTGATGCAAAATAAGTGAAATTTGACCTTTTTAGAGAGATTTAGCAAAACACTTCTGGGGTAATTTGGGTGGATTTGACCTCTCTCTGGCCCCCCTCGGTCGATTTTGATGATTGACATCTGTTTTTAACCGTTAGAGCCAATGGAATCGAGGGGAGGTTCCTAAATCCATCTAAACATTTTCATTGAGGAGTGAGAGTGATGCGTTTTCCCCCAAAACAGGAAGCTGTCATACACTCTGGTAGCAGCTAATATGAAAACTCAGTTTTTGACATAAAATTGGAATGATGGATTATCAGTAACTTTTTCAAAGTGACGGACACATTGGATTAACCTTCAGCCGCGTTTATCTCGTTTTAATGCCATTGAACACGACTTTTGATCAGAATAACAGCAAAAGGTGAGCATATCTCCGTGTTTTGCTACCTAAAGCTACGTCGTGTGTTGTCTGGTTTTGCTTCCCCTGTCGTGAGTTCTGATCGCTCAGTGATGATACTTATATGTCTGGAATCTGTGGAATCTCAGCTTGCTAGCAAAGCTTGTGCTTGTGCAGATCCGATAAGTAATAACGTATTTATACCTAGAGTTCTGTGCTAACTGCGTAAGCATTTTTTCGCTCAGGGCTCATTTAGATGCTTCTTGTGAGACTTGTGTTTTGTTTCGGTAAAAATGGTTAATATCGTCCGTTAGCTGAGTTTCTTCCCGTTAAGTGAGTATGACATATTCATAGTTTATTACCTTTTAAGAATGGCAGGGGGGCTATGGGGTTTCTTTAAAGTAGAGACACTACATACTGATATACACCTGAACATCAGCAGGAGAGGACTCTTTAAAGTAGAGACACTACATGCTGATATACACCTGAACATCAGCAGGAGAGGACTCTTTAAAGTAGAGACACTACATACTGACATACACCTGAACATCAGCAGGAGAGGACCCTTTAAAGTAGAGACACTACATGCTGATATACACCTGAACATCAGCAGGAGAGGACTCTTTAAAGTAGAGACACTACATACTGATATACACCTGAACATCAGCAGGAGAGGACTCTTTAAAGTAGAGACACTACATACTGATATACACCTGCACATCAGCAGGAGAGGACTCTTTAAAGTAGAGACACTACATACTGATATACACCTGCACATCAGCAGGAGAGGACTCTTTAAAGTAGAGACACTACATACTGATATACACCTGAACATCAGCTGGAGAGGACTCTTTAAAGTAGAGACACTACATGCTGATATACACCTGAACATCAGCTGGAGAGGACTCTTTAAAGTAGAGACACTACATGCTGATATACACCTGAACATCAGCAGGAGAGGACTCTTTAAAGTAGAGACACTACATACTGATATACACCTGAACATCAGCAGGAGAGGACTCTTTAAAGTAGAGACACTACATGCTGATATACACCTGAACATCAGCAGGAGAGGACTCTTTAAAGTAGAGACACTACATGCTGATATACTACATGAACATCAGCAGGAGAGGACTCTTTAAAGTAGAGACACTACATACTGACATACACCTGAACATCAGCAGGAGAGGACCCTTTAAAGTAGAGACACTACATACTGATATACACCTGCACATCAGCAGGAGAGGACTCTTTAAAGTAGAGACACTACATACTGATATACACCTGAACATCAGCAGGAGAGGACTCTTTAAAGTAGAGACACTACATACTGATATACACCTGCACATCAGCAGGAGAGGACTCTTTAAAGTAGAGACACTACATACTGATATACACCTGCACATCAGCAGGAGAGGACTCTTTAAAGTAGAGACACTACATACTGATATACACCTGAACATCAGCTGGAGAGGACTCTTTAAAGTAGAGACACTACATGCTGATATACACCTGAACATCAGCTGGAGAGGACTCTTTAAAGTAGAGACACTACATGCTGATATACACCTGAACATCAGCAGGAGAGGACTCTTTAAAGTAGAGACACTACATACTGATATACACCTGAACATCAGCAGGAGAGGACTCTTTAAAGTAGAGACACTACATGCTGATATACACCTGAACATCAGCAGGAGAGGACTCTTTAAAGTAGAGACACTACATGCTGATATACACCTGAACATCAGCAGGAGAGGACTCTTTAAAGTAGAGACACTACATACTGACATACACCTGAACATCAGCAGGAGAGGACCCTTTAAAGTAGAGACACTACATGCTGATATACACCTGAACATCAGCAGGAGAGGACTCTTTAAAGTAGAGATACTACATACTGATATACACCTGAACATCAGCAGGAGAGGACTCTTTAAAGTAGAGACACTACATACTGATATACACCTGAACATCAGCAGGAGAGGACTCTTTAAAGTAGAGACACTACATACTGATATACACCTGAACATCAGCAGGAGAGGACTCTTTAAAGTAGAGACACTACATACTGATATACACCTGAACATCAGCAGGAGAGGACTCTTTAAAGTAGAGACACTACATACTGATATACACCTGAACATCAGCAGGAGAGGACCCTTTAAAGTAGAGACACTACATGCTGATATACACCTGAACATCAGCAGGAGAGGACTCTTTAAAGTAGAGACACTACATACTGATATACACCTGAACATCAGCAGGAGAGGACTCTTTAAAGTAGAGACACTACATGCTGATATACACCTGAACATCAGCAGGAGAGGACTCTTTAAAGTAGAGACACTACATACTGATATACACCTGCACATCAGCAGGAGAGGACTCTTTAAAGTAGAGACACTACATACTGATATACACCTGCACATCAGCAGGAGAGGACTCTTTAAAGTAGAGACACTACATACTGATATACACCTGAACATCAGCTGGAGAGGACTCTTTAAAGTAGAGACACTACATGCTGATATACACCTGAACATCAGCTGGAGAGGACTCTTTAAAGTAGAGACACTACATGCTGATATACACCTGAACATCAGCAGGAGAGGACTCTTTAAAGTAGAGACACTACATACTGATATACACCTGAACATCAGCAGGAGAGGACTCTTTAAAGTAGAGACACTACATGCTGATATACACCTGAACATCAGCAGGAGAGGACTCTTTAAAGTAGAGACACTACATGCTGATATACACCTGAACATCAGCAGGAGAGGACTCTTTAAAGTAGAGACACTACATACTGACATACACCTGAACATCAGCAGGAGAGGACTCTTTATAGTAGAGACACTACACACTGATATACACCTGAACATCAGCAGGAGAGGACTCTTTAAAGTAGAGACACTACATGCTGATATACACCTGGACATCAGCAGGAGAGGACCCTTTAAAGTAGAGACACTACATGCTGATATACACCTGGACATCAGCAGGAGAGGACTCTTTAAAGTAGAGACACTACATACTGATATACACCTGAACATCAGCAGGAGAGGACTCTTTAAAGTAGAGACACTACATGCTGATATACACCTGAACATCAGCAGGAGAGGACTCTTTAAAGTAGAGACACTACATACTGATATACACCTGAACATCAGCAGGAGAGGACTCTTTAAAGTAGAGACACTACATACTGATATACACCTGAACATCAGCAGGAGAGGACTCTTTAAAGTAGAGACACTACATGCTGATATACACCTGAACATCAGCAGGAGAGGACTCTTTAAAGTAGAGACACTACATACTGATATACACCTGAACATCAGCAGGAGAGGACTCTTTAAAGTAGAGACACTACATGCTGATATACACCTGAACATTAGCAGGAGAGGACTCTTTAAAGTAGAGACACTACATACTGATATACACCTGAACATCAGCAGGAGAGGACTCTTTAAAGTAGAGACACTACATACTGATATACACCTGAACATCAGCAGGAGAGGACTCTTTAAAGTAGAGACACTACATGCTGATATACACCTGAACATCAGCAGAAGAGGACTCTTTAAAGTAGAGACACTACATGCTGATATACACCTGAACATCAGCAGGAGAGGACTCTTTAAAGTAGAGACACTACATACTGACATACACCTGAACATCAGCAGGAGAGGACCCTTTAAAGTAGAGACACTACATACTGATATACACCTGAACATCAGCAGGAGAGGACTCTTTAAAGTAGAGACACTACATACTGATATACACCTGAACATCAGCAGGAGAGGACTCTTTAAAGTAGAGACACTACATACTGATATACACCTGAACATGAGCAGGAGAGGACTCTTTAAAGTAGAGACACCACATACTGATATACACCTGAACATCAGAGGAGAGGACTCTTTAAATCACTTTATTTTGACCAGGTTCATGAGAACATAGACATGAAATGATGTTGGAAAGAGAAAACATGAGCTTTAGGTTCATCTTCTACAGGAAGTGAGACAAGGAACAGTCTGTAATTTGAATTGTACAAAACAAAAACAACCTGTTTGCAATCAAAATGTTACAAAACGTTTCTTTCCAGCTGTTTGAACAAGTTTATAATGCTCCCAAAATTAAGCTAAACACATCTGTGTGAGAAAATACTGTTTTTATAAAGAAGTAACCTTTTATTTTGAAAATATATCCATGTGATATGCTGCATTATGTTCATTAAACACCATTATAACTTACAATGTTCAGCATACCAAGCTCAGCTGGAGGAAGAGATGAGTAAACAGTCGATAAAAAAGAAGGTAATATGCTCAAAAAGTTTGGTCATGTATGCACTGAACTGTACACACTCTCACACACATCTACAAACACACACACACACTCAAACCCTCTCTCACATTCACACTGAGGAGCAGTCTTTAGAGATCTGTTGTGTCTTCAGTGCGCGTCTCCGCCGTGCTGAGTGCTGAACTCCTGGAAGTCCTCGGGGATTGTGTCTGCAGAAGTGAGAGAAAGTTTAACGAGACGAGATGAAGTCGACCGAGGACGAACTAATAATACTCACACCTGTCGTCTTTTTATGCATCGTCATTAAAATGCTGTCCTACTTTTCAGACACAAGATATGTAGGAGTTTCAGAAGATATATATTTAAACAGAGACGAGTGCTCCATAGCATGCAATCACAGGCATTCAAAAGGTGAGAAAGTAATCAAATATGTGGATCTGTTTATTACCATTGCAGCGGTATTTCAGATTGGACCAGATGATATTTTCCTGAGAGAAACAGAACACTCCGAGTCGCCCTCCTCTCATGGTCGTGTCGATCGTTACGCCAGAGTCCGCCACCAGCTGGGTTCCTTCATAAAACCGCACCCTAAACAAAAACACAACATGTTTACCTTTTACCCAGGGTTCTAGTTATAATCTGAGCTTCATGGGGGTCTTTAAAACTAAGGGGCGGAGATCAATATATCAATAACAGCCGGGTAATAACGTAGATAACGGGGGATATGTATATACCTTGGAGGTGAAGTGCAGGCATATTGTCATTCAAGAGAGAATACGATGTGTAGTTCTTTTGGAAAACATGTTTTTCTTTTAGCCGATTTACCTCGTTAACGTAAATAATACTCATTACATTGAAAAATGCGTTATTTGTGATTAAAATAATGGTTGTTGGTAATGTATAGCAACCCCCACAGACCCCCACTTTCATAGGAGCTCAGACCCCTCCTTATGGGAGCTCAGACCCTCCTTATTGGCTCCCACATAACTCCAACCCTGCTTTTACTTTAAGACTCCATAGTTTAATTGTAAAACCACAAAAAGGCATCTTGAGATTTCACCAGTATTGGTAATGTCTACTACACTTCTGCTATGGACATCCCCTGGACATCTAGTTCTGATATGTGCTATACGTCGAGTATCTAGCACGTGTTTTCTCGTACCTGATGTATCCGACCTGCGGGCGGTGCTGCAGGTACCATCTGTACGACACCTTGTCCTTCCAGCCCACGTTCCTGGGGTCTTTCCACAGCAGACGCACCTGATCGTTGGTGTCTCCGGTGTGCCACAGAGAGTTCCTCAGGTGCTCTCCAGGGCCCGAGCGAGACTTCACCGCCTGATGAAGAGAGAGAGAGATAACGGAGGAGGGGGCAGACAGTCAGGAGAGAGGCATACAGTGTGTGTTAAAGGGGACCTATCAAGCAAAATGCACTTTGTGATGTCTTCTCTCCATCAACATGTGTCCCCGGTGTGTCAGGGAACTCACGCAGCGTCAGGAAATAAAACCCTCTCTCTTTTCCTCCGTACCCAAATCTCTAAAAACGGGGAACAACGGAGCTGATCCAGATTTGCGTCCGATATGACGTAATATCTGAAATGTGGACCCACGGCCCAATCAGAAACGTTGCTATCAGAAACAATGCCTGACTGTTTTGGACGTAATATGGTCGGTGTTTACATTAGCATCGCTAACACTCAGAGCTAACCTGTACTGGAGAGCATGTGTGTGAAGAAGCAGGAAGTACAAAGGAACTCAACTTGTGGTAAACAAGTTGAGCTCCAGACTGTTTCAGAGAGAATCCTTGATGTGGCGTTTAATCACGGCAGCATTTAGCTGAGTATCTCAGTAGAATTCTGAGCAGGCATTACTTAGGTTTGGAAACGGTATCATTTCCTTTTTGGAGGGCATGCATAACACGGCATAACACCGGAGCCTCGCTGCGGGGAAACTTTGGCGCTTTTCCGAGTTTGTTCTAATCTGTCAAAATGACGGACTGCTTTCAGATTTTTTCGTCATTGTTAAAAAAAATCCGTCATCAAAATTCGGTTAACTCGACCTCTGCTACGGACCCATAATCAGCACTTTAGTAACAGGGCTGAAATAGAGGGATATGAGGCTAGAATGGGCAGGGCCGCCAAGGCAGGCAGCTGCTTGGGGGCCCGGACCAGAAGGGGGCCCCCAAAGAAGGTAGATTAAGAAGGTCCACAGCAACGACAACATGAAACACCCTTTAATTTACTGCAACGACATGTCGGGAAACCCCCTCAAGGTGGCCCCATGCACAGCGCGCCGTCAAATGCTGCTTCTTCTGCTCCGGGGGGGGGGGGTTTGAGGGGTCCCCAGTGAATGTTTGCCTAGGGCCCCCACAGACTCTAGAATCTGCACTGAGAATGGGTGATCTGTTTTTTGAGCAAAACACTTCATAGAGATGATTGTATATATCTGAGATCTATAATATATTGATGAAACATAGCATGATAGGAGACCTTTAAATGTGTCCTGTGGCATGGGGTATTTATATTGCACACGGAAGTTCTGAGTTCCCTTAATGGTGCTGCAACGCAACATTTCCCCAAATTGGGATCAATAAATACTTCTTATCTTATCTCATGTTATCTTTCACCTTGAGCTGGATGCCGGGCTCGGCCACGGCTCTGAAGGGCGTCGCCTGCCAGTACGTCTGCTCCGTCTGCTTCCACATCACCACGTAGAACGAGGAGGAGTCCTGGTAGCCGAAGATGAAGCCGGCGTAGTCGTCGTCGGTCACCGTGTTCACGTGGAAGGTCCCCTCGAAGTCCACGCCGCTGAACGCAGTGTAACCTGGCGACAGGAAGTGGAATCAGTTTAGTGTTTGTGTTGAGACGTTGTGATTTCAGTGACGAATGGGAGGATATACTGTATGTCTTACCAACAGCAAGTCCTGGGTCACTGTTCATGGTCTGCACGATCTCCATTCCCTGGGTGAGGAAAAGAGAGTTGTTGATGAGGAGGTCTTTGCCATGCATTGCACATTTAGGTTTGAGCGATAGATGAAAGCTCCATTTAGACGAGCATGTTCTGTAGGTTGAAAACGCAAGTAGCACGGAACTGCTTTTATTCAGCGGGAAGTCGGAGATAGCGTTTTTTTTATGCAGTTTACTGAAATTCATTGCTCTTCAGCTCTGAAATCTGTAATAATAACTGATTATTTTTGGGCAACTTTTGGCAGCAAAACTATCTGTAAATACACCATTGCCATATACCTTTCAATTACCTTTCCATTTACAAGTTATATAACAACATTTATATTTACTTAGTCATTTTTATGGCCCTTAATGAAGTTAGTGCACTCTCTTTTAGGTCCGTTTTAGTTCTCCACAAACGCCTGATTTAAATATCTGTCAAAATAGTGGCTTTTCTTCAATTTTCTCCACTGTGTTGAAACCATCTCTAACCGTCTTCTGCTGGCTGCCGAGCAGGTCGTGCACAACGCGAGAGAATTTGAGCTTAAATCACTTTAAGAGCGACGAGAGTAGAGAAGCAAAAGGGCTATTGCGTGATGGACGGATGAACAATGATCCAAAACTAATTCAAGTAATTATTCTCCGTACAAAAAAAAGCCTCTCACATTGGCTGTTTCTTAATCTATTGCCTGCTTATCTGTGTTATTGTGTTGCATTGTTGGAGAAGCCTGTGACCTAAGGTTTTCAACGACATAATTACTCTGTAGCTATGTTAGTTTGACAATAAAGAACCTTGTTAAAAGTATAGCTTATAGCTGCTGTAACTTGTAGCCACTGTATATACAGAGAGGAGTCACACCTGGTTCAACACCACCCAGTTGGGGTCTATCTGAGCGTCGCCCTCGGGGTCCAGCACCACCGTCTGATACGCCCTGAAGTCGGTCAGCGTCACCTCCGCGTTCTCAGGACAGTTATCAATCCTGTCGATCACTTTGTCCTGATCGAAGTCCGACTCACACACGTCTCCAACGCCATCACCTGCGGGAGAACAGAGGGTTTAGGGTTGAATTAAAATGATCTTAAAGTAAGAAAGACGATTCATGTCTTAGCTTCAGTAAAAAGGAACTAACAAATATCGTTATGCGTTAAAATAAGTGTGTTTGTTATCCTGTCAGGAGGATTCAGACTGGCTTCCATGCAAATGTCAAAAAGGGCAAACATATCCAAACTACGCTGCCAAAAAGTGCCTCAAAGGTTCTCTCTTTGGTAAAAACTACAAAGCCCGGTGTTGCATTTGTTTATATGAGAGGTTTTATTGAAGCTGCCTCTCGTTGGCACCCTGCTGTGTGAGTGTGCTTTCAGAATAGAAATGCTGCTTGTGAAAAATACACCCTGGAGTTTCTGAAGCACTCCTTTGGTGTTTGATTCGTCTGATGTTTTGGATTATTACATGAAAAAGAAAATATTTGTGTTCCTCTACACCGGGGTTATGATACGCTGCAGAATGCTGTGAATGAGCTTCATTGAAAACTCAAACATGTTTTTACGAATAGAAGCTGATGCTCTGATTGGCCACTGTGTGAATGTCTGGTGGCATCTTGACCAAATACAAAAGGCCGAAACCTTCTTTTAAAAGTATTTGCAGGGGTGGAAAATTGTTGCTCAGTGATATTATCCTGTCAAACACTTTAGTTTTTCAACCTGTCACTTTTCAAACCATATGTTTTAGGGATTATTATCCTTTTTTTAGGGATTTTGAAATATTTTCCTGGCAAAACTATTGATTTTTTCACATGTCAACACTTTTTTTTGGTACTAGTAGGCATTATTATAATAATATATAATAAATATAATCATATTTTCTAAAGGGATTAAGAAAGATTATCCTGGTCAAATATATTTTTCACATTTTTTACCGATATTAAAAACACAAATGTACTTTTATATCAGATTTAGTAGATGGATCACCAGATTGTTTTCCCTGGGGGGTTTTCAAGGCAAGGCAATTCAAAGTGCTTTACAAAAATGAAAGACATTAAAGGTAGGGTAGGTAGGAATGGAGAAACCAGCTCGAGTGCGCTAGAATTTGAAAGTACGCAGCCGAGAAAAATCTGCCCCTTCCTTCAGACTGCCTCACAGAGCCCCTCCTCCAACACACACGAACGCGCACATGACCAATGAGGGCACGATCAAAGCTGTGCCCAGATGGAAGGCTGACAGGCAGGTAGGCCATCCAGTTACTTTAGCCGGCTCAGATGATTGGTCGTGCTTTTTACGGAGCGTCCACACAGCAGCGTGCGTTGACGCTTGGAGGTGGGCGTGTCTGAAGCTTGGGGATTTTTTGCGAGCAACGCGACCAACAACCAATCACATGAATCTCCCGCCCCCGACATACAAAGCAATAGCAATGTTAAAACGAAGTAAACTGGATATAAAATCCCCAAACAGGCGAAAACCTACCAGTTTCACCCACTGTCTCTGCCACCTCCCTCCATGCCTCGCTCCTCCGGTTTGTATCCCGGTAGATGAACAGAGACTGATCATACAGCACCGGGTGATTCACTACCGCTATAATGAATTTCCCTCCATTTTTTTGAATATGAGGAAATGACCTGCGTAGTCTCTCCCAGCATACACGCGGTTTGATTGGCTAGCGCTTGTACTGGCAGATTTGCATAAACGGGATTTCATTGGCTGACGCCAGCAACGCTCCACGTCGCTTCCCAAAATGCAGTTCTGCTAAAAGTGACGTCACCCCATTCAAAGTGAATGGGCAGAAGCGTTGGAAGCTTCAACGCACGCCGCTGTGTGGACGGGCCGTTACAGTACCACGGCTTCCACAGATGACATTTTTTTATATATTTATTGTCAAAGTATTTAAGATAATATTCATTGCTATCGGGATGTTAAGAGCATTCCATGGAATATAACAAAAAGTGTTTCTGAAGTGAATTACCTACCCCACCTTTTAAGAGCACATTTCAGTGTGTTTGAGACTCACCGTTGTCGTCGATCTGGTCGGGGTTGGGCACCAGCCGGCAGTTATCGGGTCCCGGGGGGATGCTGTCTGGGATCCCGTCATTATCATCGTCATCATCACACTCGTCTCCGAGCCCGTCTTTATCGGTGTCGACCTGAGAGCTGTTTATCACGAAGGGGCAGTTATCCTTCGTGTCCTGGTGACCGTCGCCATCACTGTGGGGGAAGAGAAATGATCACATGACGACATTAAAGAATGTAGGAGAGAAACTAGTGGAAATAAGTTTATATATCTGCAGGAATAGGTGTAGAGTACAAATACTTCGTTACTGTACTTTTTACTTTGACTTCTTACATGTTGAAACCAAATACCTGTACCAGCTACTTCTTACATGTTGAACTCAAATACCTGTACTTTCTACTTCTTACATGTTGAACACAAATACCTGTACTTTCTACTTCTTACATGTTGAACACAAATACCTGTACTTTCTACTTCTTACATGTTGAACTCAAATACCTGTACTTTCTACTTCTTACATGTTGAACACAAATACCTGTACTTTCTACTTCTTACATGTTGAACACAAATACCTGTACTTTCTACTTCTTACATGTTGAACACAAATACCTGTACTTTCTACTTCTTACATGTTGAACACAAATACCTGTACTTTCTACTTCTTACATGTTGAACTCAAATACCTGTACTTTCTACTTCTTACATGTTGAACTCAAATACCTGTACTTTCTACTTCTTACATGTTGAACACAAATACCTGTACTTTCTACTTCTTACATGTTGAACCTAAATACCTGTACTTTCTACTTCTTACATGGTGAACTCAAATACCTGTACTTTCTACTTCTTACATGTTGAACCCAAATACCTGTACTTTCTACTTCTTACATGTTGAACCCAAATACCTGTACTTTCTACTTCTTACATGTTGAACACAAATACCTGTACTTTCTACTTCTTACATGTTGAACACAAATACCTGTACTTTCTACTTCTTACATGGTGAACTCAAATACCTGTACTTTCTACTTCTTACATGTTGAACACAAATACCTGTACTTTCTACTTCTCACATGTTGAACTCAAATACCTGTACTTTCTACTTCTTACATGTTGAACTCAAATACCTGTACTTTCTACTTCTCACATGTTGAACACAAATACCTGTACTTTCTACTTCTTACATGTTGAACTCAAATACCTGTACTTTCTACTTCTTACATGTTGAACACAAATACCTGTACTTTCTACTTCTTACATGTTGAACCCAAATACCTGTACTTTCTACTTCTTACATGTTGAACACAAATACCTGTACTTTCTACTTCTTACATGTTGATCTCAAATACCTGTACTTTCTACTTCTTACATGTTGAACTCAAATACCTGTACTTTCTACTTCTTACATGTTGAACTCAAATACCTGTACTTTCTACTTCTTACATGTTGAACTCAAATACCTGTACTTTCTACTTCTTACATGTTGAACTCAAATACCTGTACTTTCTACTTCTCTCATTTTCCAAACAGCTGGTTCCTTTAGTCTGAATGTGTGTTTGATGCGTGATCATTATTCTTTAGAGTCATTGCGTGCCTATTGATTTGAACACGATCCGTGTATCCATCATTTCCTGGTCTTCTCTAAAGAAGAGGGACCAATGGAAACGTTGTCATGTTGCCGTTGTTCAGCATGGAAACATTCATTAGCTAACAATGACATGTTCTATTAATATAAAGGGAGGTCAGGTACTCTTTAAAACAGCTGCTAGTTATGGGTACTTTTTACTGAAGTACATTTCAAAGCCTCTTTACTTTGACTTGAGTAAATAAGTTTAGTCAGTACTTCTACTTTCACCAGAGTATTTTTAAACACGAGTATCTGTACTTCTACTTGAGTAAAGGATGTGTGTACATCTCTGAGGGGAGGAAACACAATCACATGTAGTCAGTAAAGGTGGAAATAAGTTTATATATCTGCAGGAATAGAGAGTATTATTACCTGTCCTGGTTCGTGTCACAGGAGTCTCCCACCAAGTCGTTGTCAATGTCAGACTGAAACAAGAGCAGAGATTTTTACTAAAAGCATTTTTCTCACACATGAAGTACTTTGATTATCCATTCATTTTATAAAAGTATCACTACAGCTGTGGCTCAGTGGGGTAATGCGTTGATCTTTGGTTCAGTCCCCACTGCATTCAGCATGTCGTTGTGTCCCTGGGAGAGACACTTTTGGGGAATGTTCACAGTATTGAATGTATGTAAGTGACATGTAATGTAATGTAACGTGAACATACTCTATTAGGGTCGAATATTTGTAGACTTGTACCTATTTGTGTCTACAAAATATCATTACATTAAAACTAGCTGAGACGTTTTGATATCAATTTGTGAAGCTTCTTAAAGTTTAGTGTCTGGAATGTCACCAGTGTTGGGGAAATATTTTCCATCACAACCAGGAGCAAGGTTTTTATTTGGAGGTAGTTTGTAAGGTTTTCTAAGTTTTTGTGTAAATACTGAATCTAAAAAGCAACTACTAACTTCCTCGGTCTGATAGATGAGATGTGATATTTTTAAGGCACACAAGCCAACAATGTTTTTCAGCACTGGTTGGTTTATTTATTTGTATTTCTAAAGATGTGTCGGCCCATCTGTGTCTGAGTGTAACAGTTGTAAATATGCAGTGGTGTTTAGTGTTAGATGTATTTGTATAGTATAATCACACAAATTCTGTGTTCTGTATTTAATAATTCTGTGTTCTTCATTTATTAAACGTTAAATACCTGACGAGGTCTGAAATCAGTGGGCGAAACCTCCAAAATTCAGTCACTGTACTCAGAAGATAATTTTTGTGTGGACTTCCCCTCTTCATATTGTGTCCCTCATGTTTTCCTCTTCCCTTTTGGTGAATATGTTCCACGTGAGAAGAATCGGTGTGAGGGGAAAACTAATTTAATAACGACTGAGTTGTTGTATATATATCTGTTGTCAGTCAGTGAATAAACGGAGATCGGCTCAAATGTATGCTGACTCGGGTCTCATCCTTCAACGACATAAACACAACGCAGACACCGCGAATCGACACCGGTTACATGATGAGTCCTACCTGGTTTGGGTTGGGCGTGTCGGGGCAGCTGTCGCAGGCGTCTCCCACTCCGTCTCCGTCTCGGTCCAGCTGGTCTCGGTTCTGGACGAGCTGGCAGTTATCCAGGAAGTTCTTCAGGCCTGGTGCCGGAGAAACAAGAGGAGAGAGAGAGAGTTATTAAACAGTCAGTGTGACAGCAGGGGGTTAGAGAACTGTCAGGTTTAACAGAGGTGAAAGGGAGAGATGGAGGGTATTATCTGTTATCATTGTCACTTATTTGAGACTCTTAGGAAAGATTTATGAGCATTTTTATGATTACTTGTTCCTATAAATGGTGCGAAAAGAAATACAAGAACGACTTTTTTTTTAAATCAGATGAGTTACAGTCAGACCTTGACGTGATGCACAACAAACTTAATTTGTATTAATACATAGTACTTCCAATGATATCTAATAATAATAATCTAGATTTCAATACTTTTTTAGATTTTTATTATAGCTTTTAAAATTAATCTAGATTTTCTTGTATTTACGTTTTTTTTCTTAAATTGATTTTTTAGGGGCATTTTTAGAAGTGTTGCAGGTCAATATCTAATCTCTAATATACTCTTAATCAATTACATTGAAAAGGCTCTAATACATTTAAAAAATAAATCGATTATAAGAAATACATTCCTACTTTTTTTAATTTTCAAAGTCTCAATCACTGAATTGTATTTAATTGAATAATAATGCACATAGATATGTTTAACACTCATTCTCCTCGACAGATAACAGCGTGTAATCTGAACTTCCACCACTTGGTTGCACTGTTGTATTTCCCATGCAGTTAAACCTCCTCTGTGTTCAGATGCTGCTTTTATCCACCGCAGGGGGGCAGCAGCAGACCCTCAGAGGCCGAAAGGTAGGACTTGGACTTTATATTTTTTATTTAGCAGAAGCCTGGGCTTGTTTTTGAAATCCACTGGATATTAATTTCATCACATTTCTGGTGAATATTCGTGTGTATGAGGCCAACAGGGAGTGGATGTAGGGGATCACTTTGCTTTCTTTCCAAAATAGGTAGGATATAATAACAGATATATAGGAAAAAGGGAACATAATAGTATATATTAAATGCATTTTAGAGTAAAGTTACTTGTATTTCTAACAATCACAGTCTTGCTATATAAATATGTTTTCCCTTTACAGATACTATGCTAAGCTATCAGTCCCAGTTTTGTAATATTTACTGTGCTGCTATGATTTTCATCGAAATATATTTGGTTTTTGGACAAAACAAGCAATTAAAGACTTAACTTTTGGCTTCAAATTCAAATTCTACTTTTACTACAAGAGTACTTTCCCTACCCCTGGTTCTATACCATGATATATACACTCAGAGGTGGGAAGTAGTTGAGTACTAATACTTCGTTACTGTACTTAAATACACTTTTCTGGTATCAGTACTTTACTCCACTACTTATTTTTCTGACGACTTTTTACTTTGGCTTCTTACATTTTGAACCCAAATACCTGTACTTTCTACTTCTTACATGTTGAACTCAAATACCTGTACTTTCTACTTCTCACATGTTGAACACAAATACCTGTACTTTCTACTTCTTACATGTTGAACACAAATACCTGTACTTTCTACTTCTTACATGTTGAACACAAATACCTGTACTTTCTACTTCTTACATGTTGAACACAAATACCTGTACTTTCTACTTCTTACATGTTGAACACAAATACCTGTACTTTCTACTTCTTACATGTTGAACTCAAATACCTGTACTTTCTACTTCTTACATGTTGAACACAAATACTTGTACTTTCTACTTCTCACATGTTGAACTCAAATACTTGTACTTTCTACTTCTTACATGTTGAACTCAAATACCTGTACTTTCTACTTCTTACATGTTGAACTCAAATACCTGTACTTTCTACTTCTCTCATTTTCCAAACAGCTGGTTCCTTTAGTCTGAATGTGTGTTTGATGCGTGATCATTATTCTTTAGAGTCATTGCGTGCCTATTGATTTGAACACGATCCGTGTATCCATCATTTCCTGGTCTTCTCTAAAGAAGAGGGACCAATGGAAACGTTGTCATGTTGCCGTTGTTCAGCATGGAAACATTCATTAGCTAACAATGACATTATTGTTCTATTAATATAAAGGGAGGTCAGGTACTCTTTAAAGCAGCTGGTAGTTATGGGTACTTTTTACTCAAGTACATTTCAAGCCTCTTTACTTTGACTTGAGTAAAGAAGTTTAATCAGTACTTCTACTTTCACCAGAGTATTTTTAAACACAGTATCTGTACTTCTACTTGAGTACAGGATGTGTGTACTTTGCCATCTCTGCAACACTCGTGCAGGGGAGTTATAACAGAGGGTGCATTCACTGCTGGTTACATAATCTTTAGTCAGACTCAGTAACTGTCCGTACCGTCTCCGTCCATGTCGTCGTCGCAGGCGTCCCCCCGGCCGTCACTGTCCGTGTCCCTCTGGTCCGGGTTCTCCACGATGCGGCAGTTATCACAGGCGTCTCCGTGGCTGTCCTTATCGCTGTTCCTCTGGTCCACGTTGGGCTTCAGAGGACAGTTATCCTGAAGCACAGAGGACACAAAGGTTTCATTCACTGCATCAAACAGTTAGAAATACAAGGTCAAAGAACCGAATGGAGATATGAGAAATGTGAAAACCAGATAAGATGTCCAAAGCTTTAGAATAGAAGTAATTTAGTGTGATTTAGTGTTTGGTCGTCATTGCTTTACACTTCTCCCAGTTTGGAGTCTGTTACTGTTCAACGTACAGGAGGTTTGAACCTGTGAGATGATGGGGCTTAAACTGGATTAAAAGTCCATTTAAGACTGACGGCTCCTGGCAGACGAGGCCTAAAGGAAGTGTGACTCAACCTGTGGATTTCAGGTTTGACATTTCTTTGAGACTTTTAAGATAAACAACAAAGAGCTCAAGTTATTTTATGACATTTTAAAGCAAAAGACGTGCAAACACCTTTACGGAAACTTTTATGTGTATATTTCATTATTTCCTGACCTTTAAACTCAACTATTAACCTAGAAAAAGTTGTTGTGTTTTGCATGATAGGTGACCTTTAAAACCTACCTGTTCGTTGGGTATACCGTCACCGTCTGCGTCGTCATCACAGGTGTCTCCGTGTCCGTCCCTGTCGGCGTCCTCCTGACCCGAGTTAGGGACGAACACGCAGTTATCCTGTGAAGGGATGTGATGGGAAAACAAGTTAAAATAAGAGATAACAACTGCAGAAAAGTCTTTATGCATTACACATAACCAAGACAATAGACATCACTTTTTATAAAATCTTGGTGTAGTTTGCACTTGCCTTTTTGCAGCTGGAGTCTTTACATTTGAGTTTGTCATCCGGGTATCCGTCGATATCTGTGTCCTTCCCACACAGGTATCCATTACCGGCCCAGCCAATTCCACACTGAGCAAAGAGACATAGAAACTCTTTCATCACAGTGCAATACAAAGTCATGTTTCATGCATCCCAGCAGCTCCATTTGCAACATCAACAAGGAGAGATATTAAGATGATAGATAGACATTTTTCTGACGACTTCTTACTTTCTACTTCTTACATGTTGAACCCAAATACTTGTACTTTCTACTTCTTACATGTTGAACTCAAATACCTGTACTTTCTACTTCTCACATGTTGAACTCAAATACATGTACTTTCTACTTCTTACATGTTGAACACAAATACCTGAACTTTCTACTTCTTACATGTTGAACTCAAATACCTGTACTTTCTACTTCTCACATGTTGAACTCAAATACCTGTACTTTCTACTTCTTACATGTTGAACACAAATACCTGTACTTTCTACTTCTTACATGTTGAACTCAAATACCTGTACTTTCTACTTCTTACATGTTGAACACAAATACCTGTACTTTCTACTTCTTACATGTTGAACTCAAATACCTGTACTTTCTACTTCTTACATGTTGAACTCAAATACCTGTACTTTCTACTTCTCACATGTTGAACTCAAATACCTGTACTTTCTACTTCTCACATGTTGAACTCAAATACGTACTTTCTACTTCTTACATGTTGAACACAAATACCTGAACTTTCTACTTCTTACATGTTGAACTCAAATACCTGTACTTTCTACTTCTTACATGTTGAACTCAAATACCTGTACTTTCTACTTCTTACATGTTGAACACAAATACCTGTACTTTCTACTTCTTACATGTTGAACTCAAATACCTGTACTTTCTACTTCTTACATGTTGAACACAAATACCTGTACTTTCTACTTCTTACATGTTGAACACAAATACCTGTACTTTCTACTTCTTACATGTTGAACACAAATACCTGTACTTTCTACTTCTTACATGTTGAACACAAATACCTGTACTTTCTACTTCTTACATGTTGAACTCAAATACCTGTACTTTCTACTTCTTACATGTTGAACACAAATACCTGTACTTTCTACTTCTTACATGTTGAACTCAAATACCTGTACTTTCTACTTCTTACATGTTGAACTCAAATACCTGTACTTTCTACTTCTCACATGTTGAACTCAAATACCTGTACTTTCTACTTCTCACATGTTGAACTCAAATACCTGTACTTTCTACTTCTTACATGTTGAACTCAAATACGTACTTTCTACTTCTCACATGTTGAACTCAAATACCTGTACTTTCTACTTCTCACATGTTGAACTCAAATACCTGTACTTTCTACTTCTTACATGTTGAACTCAAATACGTACTTTCTACTTCTTACATGTTGAACACAAATACCTGTACTTTCTACTTCTCACATGTTGAACTCAAATACGTACTTTCTACTTCTTACATGTTGAACACAAATACCTGTACTTTCTACTTCTTACATGTTGAACTCAAATACCTGTACTTTCTACTTCTTACATGTTGAACTCAAATACCTGTACTTTCTACTTCTTACATGTTGAACTCAAATACCTGTACTTTCTACTTCTTACATGTTGAACTCAAATACCTGTACTTTCTACTTCTTACATGTTGAACTCAAATACCTGTACTTTCTACTTCTCACATTTTCCAAACAGCTGGTTCCTTTAGTCTGAATGTGTGTTTGGTGCGTGATCATTATTCTTTAGAGTCATTGCCTATTGATTTGAACACGATCCGTGTATCCATCATTTCCTGGTCTTCTCTAAAGAAGAGGGACCAATGGAAACGTTGTCATGTTGCCGTTGTTCAGCATGGAAACATTCATTAGCTAACAATGACATTATTGTTCTATTAATATAAAGGGAGATCAGGTACTCTTTAAAACAGCTGCTAGTTATGGGTACTTTTTACTGAAGTACATTTCAAAGCCTCTGTACTTCTACTTGAGTAAAAGATGTGTGTTATTTTGCCGTCTCTGTATATGAGTTTAAAGAGCAGGAACCCACCTCACAGGTGGCCGTGCCGTCCCTCTCCATGGTGCACAGAGAGTTCAGATCACAGGGGTTTGTGAGGCTGTTCCCACAGCTGACCTCCGGCTTGCAGCCCTTCACCTGGTCTCCGGAGAAACCCGTCTTACAGCTGCCGCAGTGATACGAGCCCTGAGCAAGAGACAAGGACAGCAGGTGTCTTTTCATCGCCACATCATTGAGATCATCTTCTGTTAAAGGGAAGTGTTGGGGATGGTTTTCCTACCTCAGAGTTTTGACAGGCTGAGTTTGCGGCGCAACCTCCGTTGTCCGTTGCTTTGCATTCGTCAACGTCGTCACAGACCTAAATTAGAGAATATAAGATGAGTCTTTCTCCGTTGATGTTCAGATTTGACAGTTCCACCACATAAAATACAACAAACAGCGGTGCAAAGTGATTATATTGGCTACAGTAATGTTCTTTTGTTCAAAAATGTTGTACATAATCCACTCTCGTTTACTATCTGATGATAGAATTAGTGTTCCAGGTTCTCCTTTATATCAGTTTAGATCACCAGAAGGATCCCACACTTTTTGCCAAAGTATTTTATAGCATTTTTACATACACTGTCTTTATAGCTACAGCTACTACCAATATTGTACTTCTTAAATATAAATGTAAACATATATTACACAGTAGTATTCATGTGTTAATAAGATCACTTTTCAAATAAATTCAGTCAATTCAAGTTGGAAACATTTTCTAACGTATCTTAGTTGATAAGAAAAAAGCCCAATGACTTATTTCCATAACAAGCTTGAAATAAACCCTTCATATTTCCTCTTATTATAATCAAACGGAGGCGTCTGTTTTAAGGGCTGAGCTGCCAACACTCACGAGCATCATGTACCTACTTTTGATTGATTTCGCTAACTTATAACTGAACTGATGAGGCAGTATACCTCTAGTGAGCGGCCCAGCCCTTCGTATATTTCTCTGTATGTCGCCCTCCCCTGCTCTATACCTTTCAGGTGTGTCGCTAAGATCCAAATAAAGTCAGATTTTGAAGCTGGGTGTGTTCTGAGTTACAGCACGAAAAGTAGGGGTTTGAAAGTTGGTAAGATCCTCCATATTTGATCCAGTGTTTTACCTGTTTGTTGGTCTGTGCATATATGATGCCCACACCCTCTATCGCCAGGCCGGAGTATCCCAGAGGACACGCGTCACATCTGAACCCCGGGGCGGTGTTCACACACTTCACTCCAGGGAAGCAAGGGTTAAACTGGCACTGCAGGAAGGAAGGAAGGAAGGAGGACACGAGGACTGTTAAAAAAAATCTGCAAAATCCGTGTGTCTCTCAGGGCTGCTTACCGAAAAAAGCTTTTAAGGCTGATGACACTTTGACTCATGCAAAATACATAATGCTAAAGGGGTCAGGCCTTATGAAGAGGGATGAGAGCAAAGAGGAGAAGACACACACACACACACACACACACACACACACACACACACACACACACCGAGACAGACAGACACACACACACACACCGAGACAGACAGGCAGACAGACACACACACACACACACACACACACACACACATACCATGTATACATCACTTCAGGGGACATGACATTGACTTACATGCATTACCTGGAGACTTATCCTAACCTGAACCATAACCAACACATGCCTAACCCTAACCCTAATCCTAACCAAGTCTTCACCCTAAAATTAATGATCCCCCTTATGGGGACCTCCAATTTGTCCCCATAAGGGAGGCGAGTCCCCACCCGTGACTGTGTAAACAGATTTAGTTCCCCACAAGTATAGTAATGCTAGACCACACACACACACACACACACATTCCTGTACTTCCTAATTAACAGACTTTGACGTCATTTCCAAACTTTAACTTTTTCCCGTTGCTGTCATTTCTGCAGCTCCTGTGAAGTTTTGTTCCCGTTGTCTCACCTGGTTTATTGTCACCTCTCTGCTGCCAACGCTTGTTTTAGAGGCAAAATACTTTAATATAAAAAAAGATCCAAAATAATCACGGCTGGTTTAGTTTGTCTACAATGGCAGCTTCTGTGTGGAAATATAAACACATTTTGCAGACAGCCTCAGACCGACAGTGACGTCATGTGATTAGAAAGATATTTGCACTTTACCAACCCTCCTATTATACGGCTAATTATCTTCTTTTAGTCATCAAATTGGGGGATTGGACAATGGAAAGAGGGTGTTGGACCCCCTCTGCTCCTGACCTTGAAGCTAACACCAGAGGTAAGGGTGAGAATAACAAGCTGCTATTATTCTCCACAAAGAAGGTCATGTTCTGGTATCGGTTTGTTTGTCAGCAGGATTACAGAAAGGCTTTGGGCCTGGTTGTAATGAAACTTGGGGGAAAGGTATGGGCCAAGGAATGACCCATTACATTTTGAAGCAGATCTGAATCACAGGGTAGATACACAAATGTGTTTTTAATATTAATGTTGGATAGTGCATGGCCTTGGTTGAGATCTGCGCTCTCTTGAGTGCCTTTTACAATGTCGTTTGAATCCAAAATAAGAATTTGAATATACTGTTTCTTGCTATGCGCTGGGATTAACAGTTCATAAGATTCATTGTCAGCCAACTTTACAAATCGTATCCTAAAAATATCCATTATTTGAGGGTGGGACAAGTCCGCCCCACGTTTTAAAATGATTAGTTTAGATCCGCCGGTGTTGCCATAGTCGCGGTGGACAACTTATCGTTTAATTATTCAATCAATCATTCAAAGTGTCTGATACTTGTTAACCACGAATACAAAATACCTAACAAATAATAAAAGTAATGATATCACATATATGATATAGTCAGACACTGTGTTATTTCAAATCAAGCCTAACGAATAATTAGTTCACTTGAATGGCTCCTTTGAATGCAATTTTCCTCTGTGGTTTTCTATGCAACACATTTTTGTATTGTAATGCCACTCGTATGTTATTAATTTGTAAGGTGACATTGAATGTTGTGAAAGGTGCCCTCAAATTAAATGTATTATTGTTATTGTATCTGTGCCTCTCTCACACAATGTTCTTTTTTTTTTTTAGACAATCCTGGTGTCAAGATCTGCACGGTTTCTCTACAACCCTTGTTCAGCAGACCAGGTGGTGGTGCAGCTGCCTGGTTTGGCACCCCCACTCTAACTTTGTCAAGGGTGGTCGTACTCCTGCCCCCCTCTAGTGTGTGCACACAAAAGCATTTTACTCTGGGCTCAGCAGGTGAGAAACTAAAGAGGGGCTTCCACATGTGGCAGATGGGTGTTGGTGCTGCCAGATTTAGCACAATATGACACACACACACACACACACACACACACACACACACACACACACACACACACACACACACACACACACACACACACACACACACACACACACACACACACACACACACACCACACACACACACACACACACACACACACACACACACACACACACACACACACACACACACACACTCCCTGAGCCTTACCTCGTCCACATCATCACAGTTGAATCCGTCCCCGGTGTATCCGTCTGGACACGGCCCGCACTCCACCCCGTCGGCCGTCTCTATGCACCGTACATCACGGAAACACACACCTGCACCACACCTGGGTTTCACCACCTCAGTCCCCCCCAGACCTTTGAAGCAAAGACAAAAAAAACACATTTTGTTGTGAAAATACTGAATGTACTCTTCCACTATCAAAGTACACATGATAACAAAGGTATCCCAACTGTAGCTGTGCACATGACAGGATGTGTGATTACCTAGAAGAGCATCAGGACTGTTGGATGCAGATGATAGCTATGTGATTAACATCATGATTCAGCCTCTATGGAGAGAGACATCAAGCATGCTCATTTCTGACGTGGAGCTAATCTGAAGTAAACATTGAATACTGCTTTCTATTCCTCCATCTTGTGACTGTGTAACTCCCTCTCTTGGATATCAGCATGTGAAGGACACTGTTCAGGAACTAGTTGATGCTCTGTATGTGATGACTCCTTCCATTCTGGAGAGGATCACAGATACATGGATCCTGATGTTGAAGCTCAAGCCGGTGACGAGTGATATTTTTCTAACACATTTAAACCATCATCATCTGATATTTTGTTTGTTAAAGAAATTGCTGTTTAATAGAAGTTGTCTTACCGCAGGCCTGACACTCTGAGATGGTGTTTCTGAGGAATGAAGTCTCTTTGACCTGTGAAAAGGTGAAGCATAAATAAGTCTGTATGCAGTAAAGCTGTCGGGGGGGGTGAGGAAGCAGGGATGAAGTGGTCTCAGTGGGGCTGTTAGTGTAACTCACCTGCTGAATGAGGACGTCTTTCAGCTCATTTATCACCTTCGTTAGGTCCAGCATCTGGTTGGACAGCTGCTTCGTGTTGACCCCTGAGAGAAAGGCACTGTTTACTTTGTGAAACTGAAGAAAGGTGAGAAGGGGGTTCCTGAGCCTGTTCTCAAGTGACAAACTGAGAACACACTCGGGTGTCTCTGTAGACTTCCCGCTTTAATAGATATATTCTTACCCAGAGTTTGGACGGAGTCTTTTTGTTGGAAATGGCAGTCTTGTATTGAAGCAACGTTCTCAAACGTGTCCCCGACCACCAGCTTGAGCTCGTCTAAACTCTCCTGTTGGAATAAAACAACACAAAGAGGACAGCTTAGCCAATTTGGATCCATTTATGGGACGGAAAGATTTCCATTATTGTATGGAAATAGAGTGGCGCAGGGATGTATTTTTTCACGTTACACATGACTTCACGTCACCACCGCTAAGCTAAAGGAGGCTAATGTTGGGCTATAAAGGAACTACAGCACGGTCACATGACTTCACCTCACCACTGCTAAGCTTAAGGTGGCTAATGTTGTAAAAGAACTACAGCACGGTCACATGACTTTACGTCACCACCGCTAAGCTAAAGGTGGCTAGTGTTGGGCTATAAAGGAACTACAGCACGGTCACATGACTTCACGTCACCACCGCTAAGCTTAAGGTGGCTAATGTTGGGCTATAAAGGAACTACAGCACAGTCACATGACTTCTCATCACCACTGCTAAGCTAAAGGAGGCTAATGTTGGGCTATAAAGGAACTACAGCACGGTCACATGACTTCTCATCACCACTGCTAAGCTAAAGGAGGCTAATGTTGGGCTATAAAGGAACTACAGCACGGTCACATGACTTCTCATCACCACTGCTAAGCTAAAGGTGGCTAATGTTGGGCTATACAGGAACTACAGCACGGTCACATAATAATAATAATAATGCATTCTATTTATATAGCGCTTGACTTCACGTCACCACACCTAAGCTAAAGGTGGCTAATGTTGGGCTATAAAGGAACTACAGCACGGTCACATGACTTCACGTCACCACCGCTAAGCTAAAGGTGGCTAATGTTGGGCTATAAAGGAACTACAGCACAGTCACATGACTTCACGTCACCACTGCTAAGCTAAAGGTGGCTAATGTTGGGCTATAAAGGAACTACAGCACGGTCACATGACTTTACGTCACCACCGCTAAGCTAAATGTGGCTAATGTTGGGCTATAAAGGAACTACAGCACGGTCACATGACTTCTCATCACCACCGCTAAGCTAAAGGCGGCTAATGTTGGGCTAAAAAGGAACTACAGCACGGTCACATGACTTCACGTCAACACCGCTAAGCTAAAGGCGGCTAATGTTGGGCTATAAAGGAACTACAGCACGGTCACATGACTTCACGTCACCACCGCTAAGCTAAAGAAGGCTAATGTTGGGCTATAAAGGAACTTCAGCACGGTCACATGACTTCACATCACCACCGCTAAGCTAAAGAAGGCTAATGTTGGGCTATAAAGGAACTTAAGCACGGTCACATGACTTCTCATCACCACCGCTAAGCTAAAGGAGGCTAATGTTGGGCTATAAAGGAACTTCAGCACGGTCACATGACTTCTCATCACCACCGCTAAGCTAAAGAAGGCTAATGTTGGGCTATAAAGGAACTTCAGCACGGTCACATGACTTCTCATTACCACCGCTAAGCTAAAGAAGGCTAATGTTGGGCTATAAAGGAACTTCAGCACGGTCACATGACTTCACATCACCACCGCTAAGCTAAAGAAGGCTAATGTTGGGCTATAAAGGAACTTCAGCACGGTCACATGACTTCTCATCACCACCGCTAAGCTAAATGTGGCTAATGTTGGGCTATAAAGGAACTTCAGCACGGTCACATGACTTCACGTCACCACCGCTAAGCTAAAGGTGGCTAATGTTGGGCTATAAAGGAACTACAGCACGGTCACATGACTTCACGTCACCACCGCTAAGCTAAAGAAGGCTAATGTTGGGCTATAAAGGAACTACAGCACGGTCACATGACTTCACGTCACCACCGCTAAGCTAAAGAAGGCTAATGTTGGGCTATAAAGGAACTACAGCACGGTCACATGACTTCAAGCCACCACCGCTAAGCTAAAGGCGGCTAATGTTGGGCTTGCCACTTTATAGACACTTGTTAGCAACCGCTGTTTTAAAATTCATTGAAGTATTTTACTTCATAGAACAAAATATGAAAATCTTGTAATTGCATTAACCTCAGACCTTATAAAGATCTAAAATGCTGAGTTATTTCCTGGGTTTAGGACTCACTCCTGCACCACTCTCTACTGTGAGTGACGGCCCACCTGGTCTCGGGCCTGCATGGTCTTCAGGTCCACGGTGCCGTATCCTGCAGGTAAACCCTGGAAGGCGGCAGGTAAGTCCCTGATGGTCTCCACCAGCCTGCAGTCCAGATGCAGCTCCACGCCCCCCGGACCCTGCTGCATGCCCTTCAGGTGGAACAGCAGCCGGTGCTGTTGGCCGTCCGCCAGCACCAGGTTGTTGAAGGTCACCGAGGTCATCCTCTTGTCGCTCCGCAGGTAACGCAACACAGCTGAGAGGATGAGGAAGAGATTTAGTTTAGTTTATTTGTTTATAGTGTCGTGTTGTTTGGTTTAGATGATAGGAAAGTGTTTTGTCAAATGTTCATATAATCATTTAAATAATATGTATAGATTATGTCTTTTACTCTGATTGCCTTTTACTCGTTTAAATAGTATTTTGAATCCTATATGTGTTTAACAGAGACATATGTTTAGGATTTACATTTCAGGAGGGCAAAAGGTTGATTGGCAAATGGTTAAGGACTTATGGTTTAATGATGGGGGTCTTTAGATGCCGAAGGGAATTTAAGGGTGGGACCAGTTGAATATATAGTGTGACTGTAAGCAGAACACCACCAAGTTGCTCTGTTCCTACATTTGAGATATTTCACTTGTATATTGACTTTCTTTATTACTTTATTAAATATAACAAAGAAAACTTTGTCCATGAATCATTTATCAGTTTCTCTTAAGAATGTCCTCCAGAGAAAGCAGAGCCTCTTCTCTCGTAGCTTCTTACCTCTGTTGAGCTTCCCCATGACGGTGAACTCGAAGTACTTGCTGTTGTCCCGCGGGTTGAACAGGGCGAAGATGCTGGTTCCTGTTTTGGGCTGAAGCTTGAAGGAGGTCAGGATGAAAGCCTCGTTCACGCCCTGCTCCACCAGGCCGCCCTGCAGAAGGTCCGGCAGGCAGTCCGGTGAGGTGAGCAGATCATACACTGTGGAGGAGAAGGGAGAAAAGCACAATGGAGGATCAGATGTATGAATATTTATGACCCAAACACATCCTGAGTCGACATGAGGAGATGATGTTGACCCAGTGTTTGTTGATCTTTTGAGACCCTGCATTTACTCAGTGAAATGTGGATTTCTAAGACAATCACGCTGGGTTATACAGAGACAAATCATATATCAAGGAATACATTGTTTGGTTGACTACTGATGTTTTTACAAATGACATTTTTGATCAATAATCATCAGTTATGAAGATATATCAGCTAAGTGGGCAAAGGCTAGTGGTGGAATATGAGTAATTACACTATACTTAAAAAAAACATTTGTACTTGATTATTTCCATTTAAAGCTACGTCATACTTCGACTCAAATATTGCCTCACAGTTAGTTTGTACATATAAAAACACATGATATGCTGATATTGTATAATGCAGTACTTTACTACTAAAACACACACAGTACTTCTAGTATCTACATCTGGTCCACATTGACAAACTGCAACACTTAAATGCCCCCATGAACACAAAAAGGATAATATTACAACCATAATAATGTAATACTGTGAAAAGATCCATTCTGCATAACACGTTTTAATTGTAATACTTAAAGTATATTGATCTGATTATACTTCTTAACTTTATATTATTCTGAAATGAGCCACTGTGCAGAATAAGTACTTTTTGTACTTTAAGTACATTTTGACGATACCGATATATTTTCCCTAGTTAGTTGCATGATGTATTTATTTTTGTATCCTCTCCAAATCTGCTTAGCTGTTTCACAGTTCCTCCATTCTTCTCACAGGCGGAGGTTTGACCGAGTTAAAGCCAGAGGGACGCTGCACTCATTGCTGGAGAGTCCTCCTGCTTTAATAAAGTGACTTGGGATCTGTGCAGACCAGGAGAGGATGTGCAGGGAATGTGTCGTCCACCATCTGCACACAGCATGAATACACAAGCAGTCTGCCGGGCCTTCAGTCAGGAGGGACTCGCATTGTTCCCAAATGCTGCCAGAGACTGTCCGGTGTCAGCCAAGACTGCAAAGCATGAGTTTCTTCTTTTAACTCTGTCCTCGTGTTTCTGACACGAGCTGTGTCCTTGAAATGTGGAAGTTAAAGAGTCCTGCTGATGTTCAGGTGTATATCAGTATGTAGTGTCTCTACTTTAAAGAGTCCTCTCCTGCTGATGTTCAGGTGTATATCAGTATGTAGTGTCTCTACTTTAAAGAGTCCTCTCCTGCTGATGTTCAGGTTTTTATCAGTATGTAGTGTCTCTACTTTAAAGAGTCCTCTCCTGCTGATGTTCAGGTGTATATCAGTATGTAGTGTCTCTACTTTAAAGAGTCCTCTCCTGCTGATGTTCAGGTGTATATCAGTATGTAGTGTCTCTACTTTAAAGAGTCCTCTCCTGCTGATGTTCAGGTGTATATCAGTATGTAGTGTCTCTACTTTAAAGAGTCCTCTCCTGCTGATGTTCAGGTGTATATCAGTATGTAGTGTCTCTATTTTAAAGAGTCCTCTCCTGCTGATGATCAGGTGTATATCAGTATGTAATGTCTCTACTTTAAAGAGTCCTCTCCTGCTGATGTTCAGGTGTATATCAGTATGTAGTGTCTCTACTTTAAAGAGTCCTCTCCTGCTGATGTTCAGGTGTATATCAGTATGTAGTGTCTCTATTTTAAAGAGTCCTCTCCTGCTGATGATCAGGTGTATATCAGTATGTAATGTCTCTACTTTAAAGAGTCCTCTCCTGCTGATGTTCAGGTGTATATCAGTATGTAGTGTCTCTACTTTAAAGAGTCCTCTCCTGCTGATGTTCAGGTGTATATCAGTATGTAGTGTCTCTACTTTAAAGAGTCCTCTCCTGCTGATGTTCAGGTGTATATCAGTATGTAGTGTCTCTACTTTAAAGAGTCATCTCCTGCTGATGTTCAGGTGTATATCAGTATGTAGTGTCTCTACTTTAAAGTGGACCTATCATGCTATTTTTAGGCAATAGCATAGGTCTCAGCAGTGGCGGAGCTGGGGGGTGGCTGGGAGTGGCCGTGGCCACCCCCCAGCTGAATCCTGGCCACCCTATTGGCCACCCCAAACACCCTCACCACGGGGGCCCAAACAATTTTAGAACATTAAGAACAAAATGTTTAAGTAACCTTTCATCAATAATTAACATAAATATAACGTTATATTGATAATGTACTCACTAAACTTACAATTCATTTAACTTATTTTCTTCCAAAAGTTAATTATCCAAAGCCTCTGTACACCCCCTTCTATTTACATGTAATGGTTTGGTCCCGCCTCCGCCTCCAAACAGCACTTTCTAGCAGAGAGTGAGAGCATGTGAGCAGGGATGCTAGTATTTACGTGTGTGCCATTGTGACAGACAAGAATAGTCAATCCTGAGAGATAGATGTATCCTACTGTATGGGCTGATTGTGGGTTAATCTGTTGGTAATGCCTTGGGGTTCCAGTGGGAGGGATCACTGCGCTCTTCCTCGCTCGATTCAGACGAGTGAAGGCGGGAGCTGCGTGATTGTATGTCTTCACTTCTCTCACTCACTATTTCCCTTTTTTAAGGTAATTCCAGTATACAAAGCACTATAAATCTATCAACCCATGTTATATATAATCCGTATTACATCACCGTGGTTCGTTGTCAGAGGAAAGTGTGTATTTTGCACTTTGTTGTATTGTTTGAAGGTTCTTGCTAATTCTGGCTAACTTTGTGGTCATTGAAGCTAGCTGCTGTATACCTCGTGGTGCCGCTGAATCTGGTCGTTTGTCATGTTGTTAGCAGCTAAGCTAGGCACTGTTGCATTTACATGTCCATACATATGTTGTTTTACCACTGTTAAAGAGCTAAAGATAAAGGAGAATTTAGTCATAATTATTGGTCCTAAAATTTGAGTGTATTGCCAGGCATGAAAATCACTCACCTTTCGGCGAAATTCGCCGTTTTGAATCCAAAATAGGTCGTTTGTGTGATTCATGTAGATCTGCAATACAAATATGTTTGGGGTATGAGGGGGTCTGGGACCCGGAGTAATCTGCGGCCGCGAGCTGTTATGTGCCATCATGACACGCATGGTGTTCTTTTTTTATATATTATAATGCAGCGCGAGCTGTGTGCTCGAGTCTTCCTGCCTGTCGGCTCTGCTGCTCCGCGATGATACTCTAGCTTCAGCAGCCACATTACCTACGGGTGCGTTCGTTAATATTAACTGTGCGGTCCGGAGTCACTGTGGCACAGACTGGACCGCTGGTGAACAGCTGTTAGAACGGGCCGTTCAGGTGTTCAGAGCAGAGCTCCCTGTCGGAGCGCAGAGTGTGATGTGCACTGAAAAGTTTTTCTGTCGCAATATTATCGTTGAGCTAGCTAGCTAGCATACATTGTCACTATCTGCTAACGTTAGCTTTAGCCTTCGTTTTCTAATAGTTTTTCATAGGCTATAAACGGAGGTGGTATAAGTATAGATCTTGTACTTGAGTAAAAGTAGAAGCACTCAGATCTTGTACTAGAGTAAAAGTAGAAGCACTCAGATCTTGTACTTGATTAAAAGCAGAAATACTCAGATCTTGTACTTGAGTAAAAGTAGAAGTACTCAGATGTTGTACTTGAGTAAAAGTAGAAGTACCAGAGTGTGAATACTCTGTTAGTAAAAGTACTGCATTCAAAATGTTCCTCAAGTAAAAGTAGAAAAGTATTCTCATCAAAATATAGTGAAAGTAGCGACAGTGAAAGTAGTCGTTGTGCAGATTGGTCCATTTCAGAATAATATATATGATATGTTTTATAATGATTGATCATTAAAGTGTTCTCAAAGCTGGTAAAGGTGCAGCTAGTCTGAATGACTTTGTATACTGCAGGGTAGCTGGTGGATTTACTCCAGGTGGAACTAAAGTCTGATTTAACACTTGATTATATTTCACATCATTCATCCACATCTGTGAAGTAACTAAAGGTATAAATACATGTAGTGGCTCAAAGTACACCATTTACCTCTGAACTGTAGAGGAGAAGAAGAACAAAGTAGCAAAACATTGAAATACTTAAATAAAGTACAAGTATCTCAACATTTTACCCAAGTATAGTACTTGAGTTTATTAACTTAGTTACTTTACACCAGTGGCTATACAGATAGAAAGACTAAGCCTTGAAAAGAGGCATGAAAATAGATTTTCAAAATGCTCAACAGTGTTGCCAAAATTATAAACTGACTGCTACACAATTAAAATAAATGCTTTTATATATTTCTATTAGATGTGACTCTTTGGCGTTTCTGTTATTATTACCACTGCTGCTTTAGTTGTTCTGACTGATAACATCCTGTTATTCCTCATTTTAAAGCCGATATTCCGTGGGGTCGGGGGGCTCGGGTCCTTGTCACCTTTTCCATACCTGATGAGTTTGCATCCCTGATAATACTTAGTAAGGAGGCCATCATATTTTTGACTCATGGCTGAAGTTAAGTTTCTCCAGCTCTCCCCAGGTTGGCAAAAAAATGCATCTCAATGCTTTAAAATATGGAATATTCAAAATGTTCTTCCGGGGGAGCATGCCCCCGGACCCCCCTAGAGGGATAATATCCTTCTCACCTTTTTCACCCCTGACCCGTTTTCATGCCAGGTATTCATTGTAAATGTACAAGCTTCATTATAAAGATGGCTCGATTCAGACGAGTGAAGGCGGGAGCTGCGTGATTGTATGTCTTCACTTCTCTCACTCACTATTTCCCTTTTTAAGGGTACAACACCATGTCTGAACGACTCACAAAGCCATGCTTTGAAAAAGAAAAGAAAGGAGAGAAAGAAAAGAGAGAGGAACTAAAGGGCGACAGTATGTCACCCAGTATTTCAAGAGAAAAGGTGAGTGTGGTCCATGAGTGGTGGAAATTAGTCTGTTAGCTAAGCGTAGTCCATTGTAAATAATAATTGTTATGTTTTTTTTTTTACTAAGTACTGTTAATATCTATAAAGAAAATG